TCTTACAAATAGGAGAATTCGTCTAAATCGTGGAGCAGAAGAGTTGATGACTCATCAAAAGTGCTTGGCCGACTTGTCTTTGTTCATACTACCTCCGGTGAATTATTTTATCTGTGGATGCTACTCTGTCACCAAAAGGGTTGTACATCTTTTGAAGATCTGCGTACCATTTCCGATACGGTTTACCCAACTTTCAGAGTGGCTTGCAATGCACTCAAATTGATCGGTGACGATATTGAATGGCTATCTTCTTTCATAGAAGCATCCGTCTGGGCAACTTCACCACAACTTCGATCGCTTTTCTGCCACCTGTTGCTTTTCTGCAAAGTCAGCAACCCGCAAATGCTATGGGAATTTGCATATGGTAAGATGAAAGATGACTATTTACATACCCTGAAAAGACAAATGCCCGATAAGGATGTCACCTCGGTTGCAGACATAATCCCCCACCAACTTCTCCGCGATCTAGATGATGCCCTTCCGTACCATCCAAGTCAATGGCAGATTTCGGTCTTCCAATTCCGTCTACTGAAATGCACAGGATTTTACAAAATCGGCTTCTACTTCAACAAACGAGCTATGACAAACAGGCTCTACAAAGATAGCACACCGACCTCCTGCCAAAGCTAAACAGTATCCCACTGTCAGTCTACAAGATGGTTTTCTCTTCCATGGAGAACAAAAAAAGTACTAATGTTTGTTTATGGACACGGGTTACTGGGAAGACTTTTTTATGGACAACAATTATCTCTTATTTTAGGTCTATAGAAAAATAGTTTTGGCTGTCGCTGCTTCTGGAATCACTTCACTTTTGTTGCCTTTTGGAACAACAACACATTCAAGATTCAAGATACCTATTGACCTAACAGACAAAAAATTGTGTGACATAAAAAAGTGAACATTCCTTGGTGATCTTTTACAACGTACATCATTGATCATTTGGGACGAATCGCCAATGAGTGACAGAAGGTGCTTCAAAATTTTGGATCGTTCGCTTAGAGATGTGTTGGATTGCGATGATCAGCTGTTCGGGGGAATATATGTTCTTCTTGGTGGTGACTTCCGACAAACTCTTCCCGTCCTACCAAAATGTACACGTTCAGAAATCATTGTGCTAACTCTACGGAGTTCGTACCTATGGCCATTTTTCACCATTCACATTTTACGTACGAACATAAGGGTACATTCCTCTAAGATAACCGCCAATGGTTTAATGTCCGCATCAACTTTTGCAACATGGTTACTAGGTATTGGAGATGGACTCATAGACGTACTAGACAAAGATGAACCACAAGACTCAAGTTAGCTGGAAATTCCATATTCTTTCATAATTACACATGGCATTGACTCTCTAAAAACCTTAATAGATTTTGTTTATGGAGATGGTACACTTAACAATCCAACTATCGTTGACCTTTCAGTAAGAGAAATAGTTTCGCCTACAAATGATGTTGCTGATAACATAAATACCCGTATTTTAAGGATGGTTACATCAGAGGACAGAACCTACAATAGTATGGACATGATACATCCAAATGGGAAACACACGTAAGATTTGGAAGGCTTGTATCCGATTGAATACCTAAACCAGCTAAACTTTACAGAAATACCCCCCACATGAGCTTACACTTAAAATACACTGTCCTATAATGTTATTAAGAAACATTAACCAAATGGAAGGTTTATGTAATGGTACCCAGCTGATAGTCTCCTAGTTGCTACCAAACGTGATTAAGGCAACCATCATAACTGACACTTGCATCAGAAAACGTGCGTACATACCACGCATAAAGTTCATACATAAGTCGTCAGATATTGTAACGCCTGTGTTTCTGGGCTTGTCATTAATGTTGATATAATAGTCTAGGTTAACCTTTGTAACCCGTTTTGAAATAATAGAAGTGTATTATTTGAGTATTATGTGTTTTCTGCTTAATTGCTTAATTATGTGGTTTGATTAATTAAGAATTAAAATAAGCATCAAAATTTAAGTGTAAAATAAACTTTATATCTTTGGATAATGTTGTAGTAGTTGAAACAAGGTTTCCGAGGATATAAAGAATGCCGAAATCCGAGTTATAACGAAGAAGTTATGACCTGTCGAAGTTTCGCGACAGAACCGACAACGCTGAATGACGTAAAAAGTGAAATTTACGTTAGAGCGATATTTAGCCTTAGTGATCTAATCGAGAATTGAAGATCTCGTTGTTAGTATCGAATCGATAAAAAGTTAGGCGAAAACGGACGTCAAACGAAGAAGTTATGAATTTATAACGAAGTTTTCTGTCCCGGCCTATTAAAAATAAATAATAAAAATAAAGTCAAAATTAGTCAACGGAGTCTAAACGAAAGTTGTAGAGCGTAGTCTCACCTTCACGTGGATATAAAGAACGTCGAAAACGAAGTTCGTATGAAGAAGATATGAATTTTCGAAGTTTATTAAATAATTAATAATTAAATTTAATTATTAAATCTCGGTATTATCCGAAGGCGAGTCATCGGACTCATCCAAAGTACGCCCCGCGTACACCGAGGAATGTCGACACTCGCACTCGAGGGCTTCGGTACGTAAGCAATGACGTTTCGGAGTAGTACGCCCCGCGTACTCCGAGGCTCCAGCCTCCTATAAATAGGATGCGAGGCTGCCGAGTTCTATTGCTATTTTTATCTCTTCTCTCTCCCGTTTTACCTCGATTTGCGTGCCAGAAGTACCCCGAAGCCCTGGTAATATTCCCGAGTCCCGAAGCAAGTCCCGAGATCCCGAAGATCCCGAGAAGTGCGGTTTCCGAGCCGAAGCTCTGTCCGCGAGAAGTTCGATTTTTGTAGAGATCTTCCAGATTTGCTGAGGATTACTACTTCTACAAGCCGTAGTGTTGTCCGATCATCTTCTGATCAAGTGAGTGTGTAGTTACTTTCTTCTAACGCATAATTATGAAGTATTTTATACGAAATACGTGTTATGTGTATAATTTTGTTGTTATGTACGTGAATGTATATTCACTCTCTTCAATCTTATAGATATGATTTGTTTTCTATAAAATACATGTTATGTGGGTATGCCTCATCTGTTATGTGAAATATGTATTGGATGAAAATGCTATACAGGTTTTAAACTATGTATAAAAATATATATTTTTATCTACTAATATGTTGGGTAGAACATGGGTAGATAGTTGGTGTGTAATAACCAGATGAGAGGCCTCGATGTTGTTGTTGTTGACCTAGTTATTCAGCGGAGTATGGATAACGACCACAGACTCCTTCTAGACAGTCTTGTGGAACGCTAGCAGGTTCATAACCTGTAGGTGTTGTGAACGATGTGTTCACCGGTGTACTCTATCCCCCTCATGGTTGCCTTTAGGATATCTATTGTTGAGGAAACCCCTTAGCAGTAAATCAGTAATGTCCGTCCCGATGAAAATCCTAGATTAGGTCCCTTTAGATAGATGTTGTTTTAGGGACGTAAAGTGAGGATAACGGGAATGGGTAATCGGGATAGTGATTGGTTGGTGAAATTAAATATAATTTATTTATTGTGGGTTGAAAACCCTATGTGCTCACCAGGCTCCCAAGTCTGACCCACTCAGTTTTATTTGTATTACAGGAAGTGGCGCGAGGGCGTAAGATGGATGAACCATCAAGTTGTTTTGTTTACAAGTCTGTATATGTATATATTTGTTGAATGACTTGTAATGTTATCGTTTATGCTTATTGGTCTCTATCGGAACATGACACCCCGAGTTTTGATTATATAATGAAAATACATTTCTTTTATGAAATGCTTTGGTAAACATTGTTTTATCTTGTTTTGTTTTTGGGAACAAATTCTGCAACTCTTTCAAATCAAAAGGATTTACTCTGAAATTATTTTAAAAGCATAAATGAAAATCGGTCTTTTCTGGCCGTGATTTTGGGGATGTCACAGATATGTTGTTCACTTTCTCACGAAAACAATTTCCATTGAAAGTCTACTATGCGATGACTATTAATAAGAGCCAATGACAATCCCTGCGTAGAATTGGCGTCTATTTAGCACAACCCGTTTTTTTTTTTGCAAGACCAACTTTACGCCGTCCTGTCCTGAGCAACATCACCAGATTCCATAAAAAATTGATAGACAGTACCAACCAGATGCGACACAATGAAACCAAAAACGTTGTCTTTAGAGATCTGTTGCAAAGAGTTACTTCAACCGAGGTCTACAGTATCACTACCAAGCATCTTTCCCATATTGTCATACCTTTGATCAACCGTTTTCTAAAAACCATTTGTTTTTTTTCCTTTATCGCTGCACCTAATTTTACATGTTTGTAGAATCTGTTTACATCTTCCACCATATTACATCTTAATATAACACTCATTTCCATATATTTCTCCCAAGTAGAGAACACGGCCAACTGATGACCAGCATTTTAGATTTGAAGACCGATAGCATTGGAGGCCCCCCTACAGGTCAGAATACTACGAAAATGGAAACATGTCGTCCGACGCTATGAGACTTGGTACCTAGTTGTCGATAGATTTGTAAGTTCCTTTCAAAAAATTACAATAAAACTCTACCAATTTTTAGAGTTTGCATATCATTTAAATACTAAACGTAAGAATATCCATGATTTCATTTTCAAATACATACATCCCACACATTTATTATCCTCCTCTCCAACAAAATAATTAAGCATTATTTTCTAACATTTGTAAAACCACATACTTTGGTATTTACAGAAAAGTTACCTGTAAAAAAATAACAACTTTATATTTAATATATTCTAACATGTAAATTATAAATATAACCGTTTTCACCACCATAACTAATTTTATGTTACAAGATTTTTTTTTAAACAGGGGGACGCCATATAGATTCTTGGCCAACGAACCAACTAGAGCTATATTGAATCTGTTCTCAATGTTTCAGAGTGCTACACCATATCGGATTATAGTTTCCCTAACTTAGAAAAGTATCAAAAGTTCCTTGAAAATGACTTTATATTAATGTTGGCCTGATGTCCGTGATAGAACACATTCCAGATACACTAACTATACCCAAAACCTGGTTTCGTTTTGTCTCAAAGTCACATCTGATAGGGCTTGGAGAAACCCCGCCTTATTACCCAGGTACTCATCATAGTTTCCCATCTGAACTCATGCTTGCTCCTTACTTAGTTATACTTACTTTTTTTTTTCAGACTATATTGGCGTCCTATAAAAAATCAGAGACTGCACCAAAGCGAGTGGGGAATCATACGTCTTACTCATACTAACCGATGAAAGGTATACATCACATGCAACAAAGTATAATTATCATTTCTTTTATACCCATCTAATACCAAACACAATTTCAATTTCATTAGTGGTAGTGAGATTGCAATAAATCTATGGAAAGAATGCATAGGTAATCCACAAAAGTTTAACTGAGCCTCCTTACATCAACCACCTACTACAACAGTTGTTGCGGTCACAAACTTAAAACCCTCGATATCTAACGGTATTATTTAGTACACATACCATCTATAATTGTCACATACCATATATAATTGTCACATACTGTCTGCTGCCATTTTTAATCTCCAAATTATTTATCTACAGGAGCACTACGTCACGTCTTACCACATGCTGCACATATCTATGTCAACCCAGATATACCAGAAACAACATCTCTTATAAACCTGTAAGCTATATATATTAGAAAAAGATGATATATTCCGTAAACTAAACACTATACTAATAATACCATGTCATCAGGTTTACATGACCTTCAAGACCGATGCCACCGCTAGCAGGAAGACCATCCACCCTACACGACATGAGGGTGAAAAGCAGATCGGATCTCCTGGTAATATAATATGACTACTACCTCTATTCAGAAATACCAATCATTTTACACATCAACATTTAAAGACTTCACACCTACAAGATAAAACATTCATTGTGCGTGCATCAATCAAAGACTTTGTCTTTCAAAACAGTTGGTACCAAACAACATGCCCAACTTGCAAGGATCCCATCTTTAGAAGGGGCGAACAATGGTTTTGCAGTGCACATGGACTGACCGAGAAACCAACTTACACGTAATCATCTTTCAAAAAAATTTGATATATTTAATCACTCTACAATTGCAATGCTTATAATTTTTTCCTATCCATAGATACAAACTCTCGGTTATCATCACCGATGCTACGAACACCATATCCGTAGTTATATCAGAGACATCATGTCAGAAGCTTCTAAGGTCATCCCTTGACAAATTTATATCCGACAACCCACTGGCAAATGGAAACATCCTACCCCGTCCATCACCGACCACAAAGGAGAAACAAAAACAATGTTAATCCAAATGCTTAGGGCATCGACTCCAGAAAACGTACGCTTTATAATAATAGACCTCGAAGCCTTAACAAAGATGTCTGACACGTCGGTCCCAACAACACCAACTCCAACCTGAATGACAAGAATGCGACAAAATGACACATCACCAGACTCATCCACAGCTACTCAACACGTTGCACGTGCTCTATCCTACCACCCTACATATACATACACACACGTTGAACAAAATAATTTTTTTTAACCAAAGTACCTTATAACAGACTACTGACTTTCACTCAACACGTCGCAGGTCCTACCCCAAAAGATAATGCAAAGCAGATAAGCAAATAGCGGATGTGACACAAAATTAACCAAAAATTTGTCTTTTGCCTGGGCTAATAAGTCTATCTTTTGTAATATAAGAATAAGACTATGACCCGTAGCTACCCAAAACTAATTCTACTAAATTCGGTATGGAATAATCCTGTTGTTCTAATTATTGCCGATGCCTTTTACTAACAAAATGCCTATCCATCCATATCCTTTTCGGTATATAATACCTTTCTGAAGTGACATATAATAAAAGTAGGACACTAACACACAAATCAAAAGCTGCTTGACCGTAACTCTAAAACTCAAACGACAAACGACTTTACTAACAATATGAAACATCCATATCTATTTGAGTGCATAATAGCCTTCTAAAGGCACATTCATAAATAACCATAAAAAGTAACCATATCCAATATATATATATATATATATATATATATATATATATATATATATATATATATCTTTACTACTTATAAAAGAAATCTAACTATTTCTATAAATAGATTGAATATAATAATATTATTTTTTTAAGACGTACAAACGATTAAGCTAATATTACAAACAACCATTAATAAAATAATATTAAATTTTAAATTTGTTTTGATTCCTTATATTTCTCAGCAAAATCCTAATTTCATGGTCATTCAAAATTTAAAACCTTTTCATCCTAATACGCTTCAACAAATATCCTTTAAATGTTGCATTTGCAGCTGATTAAAATATCTCATAGCAGACGTGTGTTTGTTCTCTCCACCTTATAAACCCTGCTATAAATCCCACTGCCATGAAGTATTTCCCTTATAAACCCTAATCGTTTTTCTCCCTCTCTTAGACGAAGACAATGTGTTTTTTTTAAGAAAAAAAGTTTGAAAATATTCCAATTTCTCAAAAAAATTTACCCCAAATGCGAAACTGGGTAAAATTTTCCATTTTGCGAAGACTACAGGGATGCGAAATGAAAATTCTGCACTTTTGTCTTTTTATGACCCCATTTTGCGAAGTTGGACCACTTATATTATTTCTTGAAAAGATCAGGTGCCAAATGCGAAACTCTAAGCTTTCTTCCCCAATTCGCATTTATACATTAAAAACTTCGCATTTTCATTCAAATTCTTCGCATCTTGCATCCATCCGTCTTTGAGTTCATTCGCATTTCATCGCATTAACTGAGAAATTAATCAGTTGTCTCATATTCGCATTTCAGTTGTTTGAGAAACCCAGATACGAACCCAAATGCGAAACCCACTGATTTCAAATGCGAACCAACCAAAAATCATCAACCACGTACTTGTGTCACCAAATGCGAACTGAATATCACCATTAAATTCTCCTCGCATTCCATAGATGCGAACACAATCCAGATCTCCGACTCCAAGCTTGCGAAATCAAAATCAATTAACCTCAAACAAATCGTGAACTTCTTATGCGAACTGTTTTGACCCACAAAACCAAATGCGAACTCAATTGATGTCATATGCGAACTGATTTCATAGATGCGAACACAATTGATTTCATATGCGAATCCACATCCATCGATATGAAACCAATACCAGTTACAAGCAATTAGTAGCAACAACCATCGATCCTCTAATTTTCAATTACTCAGCCTTCGCTTTTCATACAACCCGTCGACCCTGAAAAATCGATAAACACCAAATGTCTCATTTTTAGATCGATTTTCTGATTAAATGTCATATTTGAAGAATGATCGATTTTCTGATTAAATGACCCCATTTTGCGAAGTTGGACCACTTATATTATTTCTTGAAAAGATCAGGTGCCAAATGCGAAACTCTAAGCTTTCTTCCCCAATTCGCATTTATACATTAAAAACTTCGCATTTTCATTCAAATTCTTCGCATCTTGCATCCATCCGTCTTTGAGTTCATTCGCATTTCATCGCATTAACTGAGAAATTAATCATTGTCTCATATTCGCATTTCAGTTGTTTGAGAAACCCAGATACGAACCCAAATGCGAAACCCACTGATTTCAAATGCGAACCAACCAAAAATCATCAACCACGTACTTGTGTCACCAAATGCGAACTGAATATCACCATTAAATTCTCCTCGCATTCATAGATGCGAACACAATCCAGATCTCCGACTCCAAGCTTGCGAAATCAAAATCAATTAACCTCAAACAAATCGTGAACTTCTTATGCGAACTGTTTTGACCCACAAAACCAAATGCGAACTCAATTGATGTCATATGCGAACTGATTTCATAGATGCGAACACAATTGATTTCATATGCGAATCCACATCCATCGATATGAAACCAATACCAGTTACAAGCAATTAGTAGCAACCATCGATCCTCTAATTTTCAATTACTCAGCCTTCGCTTTTCATACAACCCGTCGACCCTGAAAAATCGATAAACACCAAATGTCTCATTTTTAGATCGATTTTCTGATTAAATGTCATATTTGAAGAATGATCGATTTTCTGATTAAATGACCCCATTTTGCGAAGTTGGACCACTTATATTATTTCTTGAAAAGATCAGGTGCCAAATGCGAAACTCTAAGCTTTCTTCCCCAATTCGCATTTATACATTAAAAACTTCGCATTTTCATTCAAATTCTTCGCATCTTGCATCCATCCGTCTTTGAGTTCATTCGCATTTCATCGCATTAACTGAGAAATTAATCAGTTGTCTCATATTCGCATTTCAGTTGTTTGAGAAACCCAGATACGAACCCAAATGCGAAACCCACTGATTTCAAATGCGAACCAACCAAAAATCATCAACCACGTACTTGTGTCACCAAATGCGAACTGAATATCACCATTAAATTCTCCTCGCATTCCATAGATGCGAACACAATCCAGATCTCCGACTCCAAGCTTGCGAAATCAAAATCAATTAACCTCAAACAAATCGTGAACTTCTTATGCGAACTGTTTTGACCCACAAAACCAAATGCGAACTCAATTGATGTCATATGCGAACTGATTTCATAGATGCGAACACAATTGATTTCATATGCGAATCCACATCCATCGATATGAAACCAATACCAGTTACAAGCAATTAGTAGCAACCATCGATCCTCTAATTTTCAATTACTCAGCCTTCGCTTTTCATACAACCCGTCGACCCTGAAAAATCGATAAACACCAAATGTCTCATTTTTAGATCGATTTTCTGATTAAATGTCATATTTGAAGAATGATCGATTTTCTGATTAAATGACCCCATTTTGCGAAGTTGGACCACTTATATTATTTCTTGAAAAGATCAGGTGCCAAATGCGAAACTCTAAGCTTTCTTCCCCAATTCGCATTTATACATTAAAAACTTCGCATTTTCATTCAAATTCTTCGCATCTTGCATCCATCCGTCTTTGAGTTCATTCGCATTTCATCGCATTAACTGAGAAATTAATCAGTTGTCTCATATTCGCATTTCAGTTGTTTGAGAAACCCAGATACGAACCCAAATGCGAAACCCACTGATTTCAAATGCGAACCAACCAAAAATCATCAACCACGTACTTGTGTCACCAAATGCGAACTGAATATCACCATTAAATTCTCCTCGCATTCATAGATGCGAACACAATCCAGATCTCCGACTCCAAGCTTGCGAAATCAAAATCAATTAACCTCAAACAAATCGTGAACTTCTTATGCGAACTGTTTTGACCCACAAAACCAAATGCGAACTCAATTGATGTCATATGCGAACTGATTTCATAGATGCGAACACAATTGATTTCATATGCGAATCCACATCCATCGATATGAAACCAATACCAGTTACAAGCAATTAGTAGCAACCATCGATCCTCTAATTTTCAATTACTCAGCCTTCGCTTTTCATACAACCCGTCGACCCTGAAAAATCGATAAACACCAAATGTCTCATTTTTAGATCGATTTTCTGATTAAATGTCATATTTGAAGAATGATCGATTTTCTGATTAAATGACCCCATTTTGCGAAGTTGGACCACTTATATTATTTCTTGAAAAGATCAGGTGCCAAATGCGAAACTCTAAGCTTTCTTCCCCAATTCGCATTTATACATTAAAAACTTCGCATTTTCATTCAAATTCTTCGCATCTTGCATCCATCCGTCTTTGAGTTCATTCGCATTTCATCGCATTAACTGAGAAATTAATCAGTTGTCTCATATTCGCATTTCAGTTGTTTGAGAAACCCAGATACGAACCCAAATGCGAAACCCACTGATTTCAAATGCGAACCAACCAAAAATCATCAACCACGTACTTGTGTCACCAAATGCGAACTGAATATCACCATTAAATTCTCCTCGCATTCATAGATGCGAACACAATCCAGATCTCCGACTCCAAGCTTGCGAAATCAAAATCAATTAACCTCAAACAAATCGTGAACTTCTTATGCGAACTGTTTTGACCCACAAAACCAAATGCGAACTCAATTGATGTCATATGCGAACTGATTTCATAGATGCGAACACAATTGATTTCATATGCGAATCCACATCCATCGATATGAAACCAATACCAGTTACAAGCAATTAGTAGCAACCATCGATCCTCTAATTTTCAATTACTCAGCCTTCGCTTTTCATACAACCCGTCGACCCTGAAAAATCGATAAACACCAAATGTCTCATTTTTAGATCGATTTTCTGATTAAATGTCATATTTGAAGAATGATCGATTTTCTGATTAAATGACCCCATTTTGCGAAGTTGGACCACTTATATTATTTCTTGAAAAGATCAGGTGCCAAATGCGAAACTCTAAGCTTTCTTCCCCAATTCGCATTTATACATTAAAAACTTCGCATTTTCATTCAAATTCTTCGCATCTTGCATCCATCCGTCTTTGAGTTCATTCGCATTTCATCGCATTAACTGAGAAATTAATCAATTGTCTCATATTCGCATTTCAGTTGTTTGAGAAACCCAGATACGAAGCCAAATGCGAAACCCACTAATTTCAAATGCGAACCAACCAAAAATCATCAACCACGTACTTGTGTCACCAAATGCGAACTGAATATCACCATTAAATTCTCCTCGCATTCTATAGATGCGAACACAATCCAGATCTCCGACTCCAAGCTTGCGAAATCAAAATCAATTAACCTCAAACAAATCGTGAACTTCTTATGCGAACTGTTTTGACCCACAAAACCAAATGCGAACTCAATTGATGTCATATGCGAACTGATTTCATAGATGCGAACACAATTGATTTCATATGCGAATCCACATCCATCGATATGAAACCAATACCAGTTACAAGCAATTAGTAGCAACCATCGATCCTCTAATGAGGAAACAGTTTCCTATTCGATTGTGCTTTGCAATGACAATCAATAAAGCTCAGGGACAAACAATTCCATATGTAGGTATCTATCTTCCAGAACCAGTATTCTCGCATGGACAACTTTATGTTGCATTGTCCAGAGGGGTTTCACGTTGCAATACAAAAGTATTAGTAAAGCCTAACGAAAATTCAAAAGGTGATGGGGTTTATACAGCAAATGTGGTGTATAAAGAAGTATTGCACGATTAATATTTTGTGTCGTCTTGACTGGTTGCTTTTTATTGGTTATTTGATGCATGATGTAACAAATAACACCATAGTTTGATTATATTGTCTTCAACATGTACTTTTTTTTAACATAACAATTTTGTAATGGAAACATATCACCGAAAGAACTCACGTGCCCCGCCGCTTTGCGCGGGTAGACGGCTAGTATATATATATATATATATATATATTAATTAGAAAGGGGATGTCAGACATAATAATCTAAATAACAAATTCATTAATATATACATTATACTTTATTTATATCCATCCAATAAAAAATCATTGTTATCCAAAGAAGACCCATCAACGATATATTTTATGAATATATACGGTAGACATTTCTAAACTTACACAAATTAATATTTCATTTATATAAAACATACATAAACATTTAGTCAAATACTACAGTCAAAGTGACATATAACTACCACACATTACGTGTGAAATTAAATGCAATACCGAATCCAAAAAGTTATATCAACCAAAAAGGCAAAAAACCACTCAATACCCCTTAATCCAGACATAGCCACCCTATATCCATCACTTCCCAGGAGAACATTTAATTCACTATATTTATTACAGCTCAACCACCACAATCATCCCCAATAAAAACACGTCCCCAAATGAATGGGCCTTCCACCAAACACCATGAACACCATCATGCAGAAGCTTGTGGAGCAGCTCCAAACCATGAAGATATCTTTGGCTCATCTCCAACAAACATACACAACAATCACCACAACCATGCACACACTACTAGAAGATGCCCCAGACGAACTACTATACAAGGAACTTATAATCACCAACCACATCAGCACCGATGTTGAGCAAGATTCCGCGCTGATGCTTGATACCTTTGAGACGATGCATACATGTCAGTAGCAATCAAAGTATGCAACAAAATCGTGCAGGACCATCCACCAGCATAGCAAGCCAACATGAGCTTCTTTTGCATCCAGTGCTATAATCTAAAATCGTGTAATGACCTTATAATGAACAAATGTCTCTTGATCCATATTCTGTCATACAATACATATGTCCAATATAAAGGAAATTAGATAGCAACCAATATCATAAACACTAAGAAATCAATAGGTTCATCGTTGTTTTTACATATCTGCCCCTACAGAAAGTAAATGGAAATAACTTCAAAGCATACCATTTAGTGAACATACTTATTCTTTATTTTTTAAACGTAAATATTTAAACCCTCTAACATCCGCGTAGGGGCAGTACTCTAGTTGTTATTATTATTATTATTATTATTATTATTATTATTATTATTATTATTATTTTTATTTTTACATCTTAAAGAAAAAGGCGTAAAAGTTTCGAGTCTACAAAAACTTGCCCTCTCAAATTCCCTCCATCCCCTTTATCAACCGGTCGGAGATCACAAATTCGCCGTCTCTCCGCAGATTTCCAACACTCTTTTCAAAACACTATTTTCAAATTCCTCGTTCATCCTCAACTCTCATCATCTTAAAAAAGGGAAAACAACATCGGGAAAGAGAAACCATCACCTCCCGCATCGACGATATTGCCGGCATTATCTTCTCCAGCGACGATGGCTGTCGATACAGACTTTACCTCGCTTTTTAACAATTTGAAGGTCGAAGATCCATGGCTTCCACCTAGACCTTGGGAATCAATTCCTACAGAAAGTGGACGTTCTGTCACTTCAACATCTATTTCCTCTCCCTCAATTTCAAGACGCCTCTACGACACATCAACTGTTTCTGTAAGATCTCTTTCTGGTTATACCTCTCATCTCAGCATCAATTTTACTTCCTTTTCCAAAAGAAATGTCCAATTGCTTTTGATGATTCGAACTCGGTACTTCAAAATATTGTAATTGACTCGGTTATTGTTACTTTTCACTTTTCAGACTCTAAGATGGTTTTGGTGGGATATTACTAAACCTATTTTTACGTATGCTTCAGGAGGCTAGTTTAGTAAGGCTGGCGATGAACGCTCTGCAAGGATTAGAGTCATCTCTTACAAGCATTGACAGACTATGCACAATATTCCGTTCTGATCCAACAGACAGAACATTTCACCGAATTCCTAGTCTATGGAACAAATCTGTAAGTACACTTGCTCTTGAGAAGATACTTAGATCCTTAGGCTGCATGGGCTGTGAAGTTTTCTTTCTCCATAAGTTTATTAGTCACTTCACGAACTTAAATCCGGATGAGGCAAGCAGCAATTATCCTCCATACAGTCTGGTCAACCAGGCTTTTGCAGTCGCCATTGGAGATGTTTTGGAAGGTTACATTGCTGCATTGGATACTTTATCTTCTTCTGTTTGCTTGAGAAGGTTATCATTTAATGATAGCATGATCGGCTGTCTTTCAAGTGTTGGGCATTCTGAGGTTACATTGTTGGAGGTTTTTCTTCATACGAAAGAATTGAGAAGTCAGATTGAGGTTATTGGAAGCATATGCAATGTGCATGATATATCTCTTTGTTTCTCACTTTCACCCCTTGAGGATTTAGGTACTCAAACAAAATTTAGTGAGTTTCCAAGAGGTGGTAATCTTCTTACTTATTTGTACAACGAGCTCAAGGTTGCTGATCCAGTCCATTGTTCACTTCTCAAAACTCTCTTTGTTCGCTCATGTGAACCCATATTTTGACTTTATTAGATCCTGGATTTTCAAGGCCAAAATTGTTGATCCATTTAATGAGTTCATAGTGGCTGAAGCTGAGAGTCATCAATCTTATTCACTTTCCAACACTGGAGTTCTTGTTGACTTCCCTTCAGCCACCATCAGGGTAAACTGAATTGCATTATCTTTTTATTTTCTATGGTTTTAGTACTCATTTAATACTTATTCTTGCAATGTGGATGTTTCATTCCAGGAGGAAGATGGAGTTTCTGTTCCATGTTTTCTGAAGGAATTCTTGATTCCACTGTTTAGGGCTGGTCAGCAGCTTCAAGTACTGATAAAATTGCTGGAATTTTCTGATGGTGTTGGGAGTTGGAATCGTACTTATGAGGACTTTCTTCCATATTGGAGTAAAATATCGAGCTCCCATTTGTCACATGCATCTCATATGGCTTTCGATAAAGAAGGAATTGCAAAAATGGTACTTGCAAGAAGAGACTACTATAAAATCATGATGGAGAAACTCAAAAATCAATTGCCAAACCTAGAGTTCAGATATCATCAGGTGATTTCACAAAAGCCATACCTATTCTTGTTTACTATTATTGGTATTTAATATTTATCTCCCACAATTCATGGCTTAACTTATTATGGTTGACAGGTAATTCCACACTCTACAGCACCAATTTCTGTTTCTAATGGTAGAGGAAGTCTGGAATTACTATCTTCTTCAGCAAAGAATATGAATCAAAATCTGTAAGATCTCTTTGTTCATTTATCTAAGCTAAAGGAATACTTTGATAGTTTATTCTTTATGTTTTATTTTAAGAAAGCAATGCATACCCTGAATTAGGTAAAACATTGTGCTGACTTAATTAAATTGATGTGCATATAAATTCCCTAAACTTTGATATCTTTCTGTTCATCAGGCGACTTGTTACAGCAGATAGCGATCTATCTAGCATGACAGAAGAGTTCTCATATGAGAATGATCCATTAGATTCATCCGAATGTTCATCTGCTGAAGAAGACATAGAGAAATCTGAGAATATAATCGAATCTTTTCACGATGCAGAAGATCTGGAGAAAAAATACTTGTCTGCTTTAGAATTTAAATCAGATACCTCTTCTAATATTCTGTTTAAAAATTCTTCTCAAGTTAAGAGTCCATCCACCATAGGAAGTGTTTCACATGAGTCAGATATGAATGATTTGTCATCAACAGCAGCAAAAACTCAATATGAGAATAATCAATCACTTAATCCCATTGGTAATGTTTTAGGGAACATAGAAGATGTTGCTTTGAGTTTAAAAAGCTTGAAATCATGGGAAGTTGAATCTGCTAATAACCTAATACAAGGAACAAGCAAACTTCGTGAAACATCTTCCAAAGTCTATTTACCTTCTTTTGACTTTAAGTCAATACGAGATCCTTTTACTGAATGTGTAGATAGATTAGGAATAGGAAGCTCTAATAGACCTGACCATTTCTCAGTTCCAGCTAATAATGCTGCTACCATGAAGAGAAATTCCCATAAAGCCCCTGGTGATGATACACTCCCTGTCAACAAGACTTCATTCCATAAACATGAAGATATTCGTTTCAAAACTGATCACCAAAAACAAGAACTGTCACCAAATGGTGGTGGTGGTGGTGGTTGGCAAGTTATGCTTAGTGGCACTAGCAACAAAAATGTAATCCTCCGCCCTGGTGACCATAGTAAGATTGGTGTGGCTGCAGTTATTGAGATACCATTGGATTTTGTTCTTGAGAAATGCTTGTTGGAGGAGATTCAACTACAGTATCCTTAAAAGCTTAGATCATAGCCATTTATGGTATTTGGGTCATTTTCTTTTGAGTAAATTACCGAAATCGTCCCTTTGATATTGTCCAAAGTTACAGATTGGGTCCCTTGCAAAATTTTTCTTTAATAACTTTTTTTGCCCTGTAGTATGGATTTGTAACATTTTTCGTACCTGAGTTGGACACACTTAACAGTTACTGTTAACTTTTACAAAAAAACCATTATACCCTCGCTTTATATTTTTGTTCATCTTAATTTGTTACGGATTTTATCTGTGGGGCCCGGAAATTAAAAGACTGAAAAAAGGTTAAAAACGTTACAAATCCATACTACAGGGATGAAAAAGGTTTGCAAGGGACCGAATCTGTAATTTTGGACATACCACAGGGATGATTTCTGTAATTTACTTATTTAGGTATGGATGATTTATTGTTGTAATGCATTTTGGTTTTTGCTCTAGGTTTAACATGTATTTGGTTATGTTATCTTATTTAGTGTTGCATTAGTTTATGTTCTCCTTAATGTTGGTAGATATATTTATGTGAGTAAATTGACAATTAAGCTACTTGAGGAGGGTTTTTCCTTACAAGAACATTTGTTGGCTTTGAGGAGATACCACATGATGGAATCAGCAGATTGGGCAGATTTATTTATCGTGTCACTTTGGCAACATGTATAACTATTTTTTTTTTTTTCCCTTAGTCTCTTCTAGAAAGTTTTATGCTCTGATAATCATATACTGAATTGTTTTTTTTTTTTTATAGAAATGGTATGCCACGGAGGCAGATAAAAGGATATCTGAAATACAGGGGCTTCTAGAACTTTCAGTTCAGAGGTCTTCATGTGAAAGAGACCATTATAAAGATAGACTGTTTGTTTACATGAAAGAACAAGGCTCCAAATCTCTTCCTGGTTTTGCAACTGGTATGTTTGGTTTGTGGATTCTGATGGAATTGGAATCCAAGATTCCATTCGTTGCGGCTTTCGTTTGTTAAATGGATGGAATCCAATTCTGGCACAATCCTTCAAATTCCATGGTTGATGGATTTAGTGTTGGAGGAATTTACTTCCATTCTTCATTTTTTTTTTATTAATTATATATGGTATATTTGCAGGTATACAGTCCTTCAATGTTTTAGGCCTGGGTTACAGAGTAGATTGGCCAGTGAGCATTGTTTTGACTCCTCCTGCATTGAAGATATATGCTCAAATATTCAGTTTTTTGATACAAGTCAAACTTGCTTTATCTTCTTTGACTGAAATATGGTGTTCATTTAAGGTATTCTACTCCATCAATTGATTTCCATAATGCATGTAAACACCACCCTAAATCCTAAATCCCTAGGGTTTTGGGTTCACATATCTCTACTTTTTCAGCAAAAAAATTCACATTCTATTTTGATATACAGGAATTCATGCATTTCACCAACAATAATCGTCATTCTGATGTACAAAAATCCCATTTCAATATCATGGTGAAATTGAGGTACTCTTGAATATGACAATAAACAGTTTTATTTTAGCAAGAAACACATATAAAGCAAACTCTCAAGATGGAGCAGAAAGACTTTCTTGCCCTTCCTTCTGGCAATTCATATGATGTTATGTGTTGTATATTTCAATTATATATATTCCAATTTTTGTATGTTTCAGGCACCAGATTTTCCATTTTGTATCAACATTGCAGCAGTATGTTCAGTCTCAGTTATCACATGTATCTTGGTGTAGATTTCTACAGTCTCTTAAGCATAAGGTTCCGAATAATCATCATCACATTTAATATTTATATTTATTTTATTCATGTATTCATTTTCCAGTAATTATTATTCTTTGTTTTCCATTAGGTTAAGGATTTAACAGATCTTGATATTGTGCATATGGATTATCTCAATGATTCACAATGCATGTAAGTTATATAAGTTTACCATTGTTTTCACTTTTCACATAACACACAGATAGAAAATTAATTTAAATCTTTCTTAAACTGATTGCAGATGTTTTTTATCGGATGATATGAAACAAATAGCTGAGATTATTCAAAGCATTTTGCAATGTGCGCTGGACTTCAGATCTTTTGTTGTGCCAAACAAATCAGCTGTCAAAATTGCTCAGGTCATTTTTTACTGTCTTCAGTTATTAATTATTATTATTATTTTTTTAATTATTAGTGATTAAACAAAGCATAAAGCTATTTCCTTCAACAGGTTGTGAGCATTAAAGAAGCATTTGAGAAAAACATGAGACAATTGTATGCATGCTATATCAAGTCTCCTAAGAATGTGGAGTTCAGTCTTCCACGCTTCTGGGAGTACCTCAATTACAATCACCATTTTTCAGATGTTATTAATAAAGAAATGGGCCACCATATTTTTTCCTTCTAAAACTCTTATTATCAACTTTTTTTTTTTTTTTTTTTTTTTTTTTTTTTTTTTTTTTTTCACGTGTATGTGGTTTTTGATTGATGGCATTTTTTGGTGTGTAATTATATCATGTCTTGTTTATTTTCCTACTTTGTGTAATTAAAACTGGTTACTATTAGATGTGTTGACACTTGCTAGTAAAACATGCATGAGGTATATATATGGGTTTCTTTACAAAACTAGCTTCCATTCTTTGGTTGTGTATAATGTTTGACAAAAGTAGCTGTAAACTTTTGAAAGGTTTTAAATGACATAAATGGTTAAAAGCTCTCCGAAACTAATTGAAGTATAGTAAGTTTTTTTTTTGTTTAAAATTAGGGTTTAGGGTTTTTTAACATGTACTTTTGTGAATTTTTTTTTGAGAACTACAAACTCTTAAAATTTGTTGCCAAACATATCATGTATTTCTCACGTAGATCGACCAAAATTTATGGAATTATTTGTTAGTGGATGGTATTGGTAACTACTTGAAATAATGTTAATGAAATAAAAAATTTATAAAATTCTTAATTTCAAAGTTATGTAAATAATTGGGGAAAACTAAAACATTTCAGGGAAATAAATGTGACTTGAATATGTGATAATTCTAATGACAAAAAAAAAACCTAAAAAAACTAGACAAATTGATGATATAATTTGGCAAAAAAACCAAGTATTTTTATTGTAGATGAGAGTATCTTCAAAGTTGGATCTTTGTTAAGCTTATTAATTATTATCATTGAATGATTTTTTTTTTTTTTTTTGGGTAATTTACTTTAGCCAACTTAATAAAGTAAAAAGTCATTGAAGGAGTTAATCATTGTGGCTGCTATATTGCTATTATCATTACTTTATTGCATTCAGTTAAAGATACTGAATTTTATATATAGTTATTACTAGTATCAATTTCTGTGACTTATAACTTTTTGTTTTAATTTCTTTTGTTATAAAAATACAATATATAATTATTAAGCAGAAGTGTCTCTTTGCATTGGGGTTTTATTTGGGGGATGAGAGAGTAGTTTCTACTTTCTACTTGGAGTAAAGTACCAAGTAAAAGGGAATAATATTAATATGAATAACAATAAAAATAAAAAGAAAAAGAAAACAAGTACAGTAGCAGCAATAAAAGAGGGTTTACTCCACAAGTAACCTGGACTCCGATCATCTTCATCTCTCTCATATATATCTTCTTTGAAATTCAAGCAATCATCTAATCTGTATATATATATTTATAATTTATCTATAACCCTATATTTATCTTCTTCAAAAGATTCTATGATTGGATCCTGCGTTTTTTTCTTTGCTGATTACGGTTAGGCCTTTTCAATTTCAATCTCCTCATCACTTTCATTCTTTCTCTGTTTTGATTTTCGATTTTAGGTGTAGATCTGAACCTGTTTCCTCGAGATATATAGAAATTTCTTTACGATATGCCTTGCTTTTCCCTACTCATGACTCTCAGAGATCTAATTCACCGAAATTTCATTCAACTTCGTAATTTTCTCGTCTACTGATATTGACTTCTTTACATTGAATCCCTCTTTGATTTGCTTTTCGTTCGTCTTTCAATAAATTAATTATCCTTATGGCCACTTGTTGAGCGATTAAAAGTTTCTTCAAGGTAAATTCTCCCACTTAATTACTTATTCGTAGCATTAATACATGACTGTGCGTGTGTAAATGAGTGAGTATGTGCATGCTTCTTCTGCTAAATTCTCGATAATCGAGCTTCAATCCATATACATTTTTCGTTGTTGTTGTTCATGTGATTTTGATGATTGTGGTGAGGTGTTATCATGAGCAAGATTGTTTAATTTTACATGGTATCTTTCAGTTTATAGATTGTTTAATTTTACCTGATGCAGTTGTATTTATTAGCACAGTTTCCATCAAACTCTGTCATGCCATTTATGGATTCAGATAGTCAGATGTGACTATGCAACAATTCACTAAAGTTCATTGTTTTTTAATGTCATTTATCTATTTTCTGGTTTTGTATCTGTAATTAACATGGTATTGTTTTGCTTCATGGAGATGAGCAACATGACAAGTGAAAGTGAAGAGAGAATATCCTGCAAAAATTCACCAAGTTTTGATGAAGGTAGCACTGAAAGTGAAAGAAACATGGTAGAAGGAACAGGATTTGGTTCACTAAAGAAAGGTCCCTGGACATCTGCTGAAGATGCAATCTTAATGGAATACGTGAGCCAGAATGGAGAAGGGAATTGGAATGCTGTTCAGAAGCTCTCAGGGCTATCTCGTTGTGGTAAAAGCTGTCGCTTACGTTGGACAAATCATTTAAGACCTGACCTTAAAAAAGGCGCATTTACCCCTGAGGAAGAACGCCTCATCATTGAACTTCATGCTAAAATGGGAAACAAATGGGCACGTATGGCTGTTGAGGTTTGTGCTCTTCTCATCTACACTTTTATGTTTCCTTTGTTATATGTATTTGTAGTATGTATGCATTTGTAACTTACCAAGTTGCTTTAGCTTCCAAAACCAAGATAGTTGTCTTATATCTAAAACTAATTGGGGTTTAGGGTTTAGGGTTTAGTATGTTTCCTCCTAAATTGCTGAACTTCCACCATGTAGATATGCTCTATGTGTTGGTTTTTGGCTTCCAAAACCAAGGTAGTTGGCTTCCAAAACCAAGGTAGTTGTCAGTCAGTCAAACACAGTACAACCTGTTCAGTGTTGTTGTCATGTCCTACACTGAAATGGCCCATGGGTTTTTCATTATTCATTACTTTTGGTTTCAGTTACCCGGACGCACAGATAACGAAATCAAGAACTTTTGGAACACTAGGACCAAAAGAAAGCAACGTGCCGGATTACCAATTTACCCTCACGACATCTCTTTCCAACAACTCAACGATAACTCCCAGAATCAAAACATGCTCATGTTCCCCAATGGCGATTCCGGAATTTTCCCACCAACCACTAACCTCCACATTCCATCCATCGATTACAAAGATTTCATACTAAATGACGAGTTTTACCAAAATCAAATACCCACCGAAAGTAGCTTGCTTGATATCGCATTCCCCATGCCAACACCATATCCACCCAAGCGCATCAGGCCATGTGGTGGTGGTGGTGGTGGTGGCGGCGGCGGTGGTGGTGGTGGTCTTGGTGATGTTTTTTCTGGTATGAATGGATATGAAGATGAGAAGATTGGTCAAACTTTGACTACATCTTCATCTTACTTATGTAATACAGGTAGCCATGCCTTTATAAATGGCAACAATTGTTCATCTTTTGAGCCTAATTTATGGGCAATGAGGAATGAGCTCCCTTCACTCCAATATTTTCATGGTGCACCACCTTCTTCTTCTTCTTGTTCTTCCTTTGAAATCGAGTGGTCGGAATCTGATTCCCACTCGCGTAGGAACAGTGGCCTGTTAGAAGCTGTGCTCCATGAATCAGAAACCTTAAAAATCTCGAAAACTAAGAATGATCTCAATAATGTTGATGATCAGAATTTAGTTTCGGATTGTTATGGTTCACCATTGACTTATTCAGCTGCATCCGTGTTTAGTGAATATACTCCAATCAGTGGAACCTCAATGGATGAACATCTTTCGGTTGAGGCTACTTCAGGTGACATCTACTTTTCTTTTTCTTTTTCTGTTTCCCTTTTTTTTTTTTAATTATTTAATAATAATTGATTATTAATACTAATGATAAAAAAGAAAGAATAATTGTGTGTTTTTGGTGATGTAAAGTTAAGCAGGAAGCAGGTGAATCTGATGACATCTGGAATGACGTCAGCTGTTTGAGGCCGGATTCTCTTCTTGGCTTAAACTGGTTTTCTAGTGATCCCATAACTTCACTTGTTTCCCATCACGATGACACCTCTACGACAATCCACACAGCGTCTCAATATCTTTAAACTATTATTATTATTATTATTATTATTATTATTATTATTATAAAATAACACTTGTTTGCAATTCCTTTAAACCCGGATCTTGTTTTACTATTTGGTTGGGATATTGTGATATGCTGAAAACCTCTTGGAATATGTTTCGCTTATTATTGATACTACATTTCTAGAAAGAACAACTAGTACTTCATTTGAATAGGTCTTCCAGTTTGTTAATCAACCTCAATAACATGAGAGGGTCAACTCATCCAACAAATCAGCATTTAGAATCTTGGTCAAAATTAAAGGATAATCATTATTAGGGAGGAATTAAATCAAGGACGACATGAGGAGTAAAAGAGACGTGAAGTCCATCAAGTTTTAACTACGAATACTCTACCCCGGCAAACTGTTCTGGACCCGGCCCAAAGACAATCCTATTAGGCGTACTTGAGCCCGTTATACACAACCCTATTAGGCCTACTTGAGCCCGCTAATTGTACTTCAGTCTAAAATATAGATCAAACAGCCCAATTAGGCTCCCTCCAAGGAAAAGCCTATTTATAGGTCTATTTAGGTCCTGAAAATTACCCAGATTAATCTCCACAAATCTAATATTTTTGGGATTTGTGTATCTCATGAAGGGGTGGATCAATTGGTTGTAAAAGTGCGAAATTACCTTTTACTTATTTGGGTTCCTGGTTGGTGCTTCTGGCATGTTTTAATGCTTGGAACGTCATTATAGATAAGTTTCAAAAGAAACTTGCTTCTTAGCAGATTTGGTTACTTTCCATAGGGGGTCGTGCTATGTTATTGAAGGTTGCTTCTGGGGAGATGACAAAGGTGACTGTAAATTGCATTGGGTTAAATGGGATATTATTTTACTCAATAAACAAAAAGGTGGTTTGCATATTGGTTGTTGGAAGCTTTTAACAAAGCTTTGTTATTTAAATTGAAGTGGTGTTTTTTGGTTGACTGTGGCTCGGTATGGGTCAAAGTGTTAAAGTCTTTGCATGGGAGACCGGGTGGTTTCAGTTGGAATGTTGGTTCGGTTCTTAAGAAGGTGTTTGGCATTTGATAATTGGTACTATCAATCAACTTCATGACCACTGTATTAATCTCGATGGATGCTATTATTCGAAAAGTTGGTAATGGAATGAGATTTTTTTTGGAAAGAATGGTGGATTGGTGATATCCCTTTGATGGTGTGGTTTCCTAGGCTTTTTAGATTGGAGACTGATAAAGATTATCAAAGATGGAATGTGGTTGATTGGAATTGGTCTTGCGTAGTGGACGATACTCTTTTTGTGATTATTTAAGAATTGAAGATCTTTATTTTTTGGTTTATTTTTTTTGGATTGTAGCGATAAGTAGGTGTTGCATGTTGGCAGTTCTATTGAGTTTGTTGTTTCGAAGGCCCATAGATTCATTGATGATATCTCTCTTCCCGATGGTTCTTGCTCTACTAGATGGAATAAATATGTCCCTCATACAGTATTTTTTTTTGGAGATGTCGTTTAAACAGGTTGCCAACTCGTGTGAAATTGGTTGACAAAAAGGTGTAGATGTCCCGCATTTTATTCTATTCATATCTTTCATCTTTTCATTCAGTGTGAAGTGATTGGTAACCTTTGGACGTTTGTTGGAAGATTGTGTGATGTTTCTATTCTTAATTTAACAGAAATTGAAGATGTGGTCGGGTGGATTGATTCTCCTTGTTTAGCTATTATAAAGAAAAGTGCAGCGAAAACAATTGTCATGATTATGTGGTGGTTGCTATAGAATTTTAGGAATGATATTACATATGTTTATATGCGGATATAATTTTTATATGTTATTCATATATGAATTACAAACTTACTTAGGACATTAAAATGACGTATTACCTGTATTCATTTATGAATATTACCTGTATTCATTTGTGAATATTACATGTATTCGCGTGTGAATATATTTTTTTTTTATATATTATTCACATATCAATTACATACTTGCTCTGTGTTTTTAAAAGATATACATTGATTCTCGTATAAAGACATATTCACTTGTGAATATTACGTGATATATTTAGTTTATGCATTTCATCGAACAGTTGGCGTGCAAATAAATTAACTTATATAACTATGGTAAAAAATTCACAATTGAAGCTAATAATTACAAAACAAATCAAATCATATCAAAATCGATTAATAATCAATAGGTTTATATAAAAAATTGTGAAAAAAATGTATAAAAAACGAAGTTTTTCAAACTTGAAAAATGATTTTAAAAAAAATCTTCAAATATATGGTTATGTTGATGAACTTTCGATTGCTACCTGTTGCTTGATATTGGCGAAGGTTCCTTTGATGAAGTTTCGATGATTTGTGATCACTAAATGATGTGACATCGATAAATATGGATTATTTTAACGATTTTGCTTGATGTCAATGAAACTGTACAAGATTGAATCACGAGTTACACTTAGTAGTACAAAGAAATGTTTTTAATGACGAATCACAACATTTTGATGAATAAACGAAGATTTTTGATGAAGAATTGATGTTTTTATGAAGTGTCGATGTCTTTTTTTATGAAGAACATGTGATTTTGATAGCGAACAAGTAGTAGAACGTATGATGTTGATGAAGAACATATGATGTTGTATGATGTTGATGAAGAATACAGAGGAATAATCGAGATGAATGAATAACAGATGGTGTAGATGAAGAATAGATAAACGATCCAGAAGAAATAGTATCTGTGATTGAAGGTTAATATATCATATTTACAAGTTTGCCACCGTGTATTTTATGCTAATATGCTAATTAAATGATTGGCTGAGAATGATTTCCCATTCTCAACCTTTTTTATTTTCTCAGTTGAACTTACCCCTCTCTCTCTCTCTCTCTATATATATATATATATATATATATATATATATATATATATATATATATATATATAGTACTCTATATATTTATTATAACAGATGTCAAAATTATTCAACCAAAATTCATTTAAAATCTAATATTTCAAATGTTTTTTAATAATGATTGTTATAATTTCAACATATGTTACTTAATTGATTAAAAAAATATTAATATTTTGAAACTCCTAACTCTTAAACTTATATTATTTAATTTGTTAGTTAATTAAAATATTTTCCTATATAAAGATAACATTTTTATGTTTGGTTAATCATATTTATTTATTATTTTTTTTATCTTTGTTATCTAGAATGCATGTAATTAGAAAAGAAGATGTAATATGTTCCCAATAATCCAAGCACTGATCTAATTAAAGGTATATCTACCCCCAATAAAGAGTAATTTGACCTTCCAACCAATTAACTTCTTTTTGAATTTATCCAAGATAAGAATCCAACTACTAGTTTTCACCATATTATTTCCCATTGGAATGCCTAGATAAATGAAAGAGAAATAGTTAGCTTCACATCCCACTATGGCTGTTATATTTTGAACATAAGAATTAGACACACATGCCATATATTTTCTATTTGTGCATTGGTAAACCCGACGCTTCTTGAAAGTACTTCAAAACAGGGATAAGATTCTATGTATTGCAGATCGACCACTTATCGATGAATATGACATCATCCACATATAATAAATGAGACACCTAAACATTTTTTTCACCCATATTAATAAGAGAAAAAAGAGTTGCCTCTAGCGCATCAAACATAACAACATTTAGCACTTCCATGACTAAAAGAAAAAGAAAAGGTGATAACAGGTCTCCTTGACATAAACCTCTCTCCAATTTGAACTCATAGGTAGGGTTACCATTAATCAAAATCAAAGCCAAGGAAGAAACTAAGAAATCATTAATCCACCTTATTCACCTAGAACTAAATCCTATGAATTGCATCATCTTCAAGAGAAAACTCCAAGATACCAAGTTATAGGCTTTCTAAAAATCAAATTTGAGAACCATGATTGTTTTCTTTATCTTCGTACACCAAGAAACCATCCCGTTTTATAAAAAGGCCCATTTAGATTTGTCGTCCCTTAACAAAAGAATATTATTCAATGTATGCCCACCACGGAATCAACCATTTTAGCTAGAAGTTTAGCTAAAGTTTTAGCTATAATCTTATAAATTACACCAGTTAAGCTAATAGGATGGTAGTCTTTTGTGACAATCGAAAGGATTCCGTCACTAACCGCCATTAGGAGAGAGTAGGAATAATAGATGTAATAGCTTAAGATTATAATATTTGATTTATGAGATAATAAGAATCAAATGTGCCATTACATTTATTGTTAAATCGTTGTTAGGCTCGAAAATAAGCGTCCAAAAAGTTATACCGTCTTCAAAGGTGGTTAACGTATTTGGAAAGTACTCGTTAATGTGATCCCAATGATATAAGATTCGTAAAAATCCGAATCCTAATGAGAGAGTTATAAATTTTATAAAAATAAAAATCAACCTCGTAATTAAAGTTAATTACGTCAAAACGGTATTTAGAGATTGGTTGAGTTTTGACTAAAAGTGCAAAAAAGAGATTCGTTGTACTCCTTGAGGTATAAATGTTAGCACAAAGAATGTAAAAAACGGGGTCCGTATGAGAGATATATGATTTTTGTAAAAATCGTTTTTTACCCCCGTTAGACACAAAAGTGAAAGTCAGAACTAGCTAAAACAACCTAAAAGAGACTTATAGTACTCTTTGAGATCATTACATAGATATAAAGAGGGCTTAGATCAGAGCTAGCACGACAAAGTTAAAAATTTTACAAAATCATTTCGTGTGTGCGAGGTGCGCGTCTATGCCCGTCGCGCACCTGACACCGAATTCGAGTAGATTTCGAGTGACGTGGCCAATTGGGGAGGCGACACGTGGTTGTCTTTTGGATGGAGCCACAATGATCACGCGCAACGCGCATTGATTTTTTCACCGCGAGCACCCCAAATCCCTGCCTATAAATAGAAGTGCAGACCCCTTCTGTAGACCTTCTAAGCCTCTATTTCTCAACTCTTGAACCTGCTGCACCCTTGGAGTGGTCCTCGGAGTCCCGAGCATGATTCAACCCTACATCAACTGTCTCACGTGTCAAGGGTGAGTTTACGGCCCCATTTTAGTATTTTAAAAGTTTTATCAAACTCCTTTATCAAAATATAGTTATATATATATATATATATATATATATATATATATATATATATATATATATATATATATATATATATATATATATAAATATTAATAGTTATATAAAGCATGAAACCTTAGGATAATGTAGCCATAAGTACTATACCTAGTTGTAAGCTACGATATTATGCCTAAGAGTTATGATGTTCGATAGTCTAGGAAGAGATATTACCTATACGCTATGTTGACCAATTCCCTAGGATAACATAGTACCGAGAAGTAATGCTGGTCATATATAGAGATATGCAATGTACCTAATCGTTAAATATCCTGTTTTAACCATAATTAGGATATATATATATATATATATATATATATATATATATATATATACACACACACACACACACAAGGTAATTATGAGATTTATAAGTTTTAAGTATCAAATAGAAGGTAAAAGATTTATATTGTGATAGTTATAGTAAACCATTAAGAAAGAAAGATAAAAGATAAAATACCTAAGGTTAATGCATTTGTGAGTTGTTATTATTCATCCTTAGCCTGATTAAATTTGGCTACCCCGAACCTGTAATCGTTAGTCTTGCGAGAGCCAGAAAGATATGTATGGATCTATACGGGGTTTGACACCCCAACTGCAATTTCTAGCTACAATCCCAACAAGATAACTTTCTTTATTATTCAAACACTATTCGACATCTGATGAAGCGTCGTGCGGGGAAATTATTAGTCTACAACGTCGATTATGGGGGCTCATAGTAATAAATTACAACCACCTTAGAGACCCAACTACCTAGAGAGATGCCTTTAAATAGTAAATAAAATACTTTAGGATTAATAGAATGTCATAAAATATAAAGATAATAAGATAGGATAGGTAGAGTACCCTATAAAATATAATAAGTTAACTCCGGTAAGATATCTTAACAAAGATAGAAAGATTTTTTTTTTATAAAAAGAAAAAAGATTCTTAAAATACAATTAAATAAAGCAGATACATAACTCATATTAGCTATATCATCTACATATACCAAATAAGCTATGCATACAAACATATAAGGATGACATGGAAACCCTCCAAGGTCTTACACCGGGTGCCACTGGAACCCCCACGTGGTCTTAATCCATTGCCATGGGAACCCCCACATGGTATTAACTACCTGCCATGGGAACCCCCACATGGTCTTCACTAACTACCATCGGAATCCCCACATGGTCTTAGCTAACCAAAGAAATATCATGCAAGCTAAACATACAAACATGCTAGGATGCCATGGAAACCCTCCAAGGTCTTACACCAAATGCCATGGGAATCCCCACCTGGTCTTAATCTGCCACCACGGGAAACCCCTGGGGTCTTCCATGCAAATATCATACCCACATAACACATAACCAACTAAAAATCCACATATCACATAAAGAGGCCGGCCTTGGTGCCTTCGACCCATTGGTATGGTGAGAAGACTCACATCTCAAGAAATGTTGAACTGGTAAAAATCAAATCCCAACTCACAACTTCGAACTCAACCACCTACACCCACCCTGCAACTAACTTCTATAAAACCCAAAATTAACAAAGATACCCTTAAAGTCAAACTTGGTCAACCCTGGTCCAAGTCAAAGTCAACAGTCTATGTTGACCAAACTTGTCGAGTGCACTTGCTGACTCATTGAGTTCCTTCAGTTATCAGAAAAACCAGGGAAAACCATAGCCAACTCGCCGAGTTGACATGCCAACTCGTTGAGTTCGCATTATGTCTAA